AGGAGGCGCTCCATCGGTGTTGCGGCGCACACCGGGCGGGCGGGGTTATCTGCATCAGAGCTAAAAAAGAAAAGGACGTTTTTAAATACACTGAGGGGATTTTTAAGAAATTATCTGTTTGATTTGAGAAGATGCAAACCAGAAAAATAACCCGATTTTTATAGAAATTTAAAAGGTAGTGTACAAAACACCCATCTTAATCATACAAGTTTTAGTTGATGTTTCTAGTTTAATTTTAAACTAAATGTTGTAGAGATCAGCTCATAAACAGAAAGAGTCCTTACAGTCTTAACCTCGTATATGTAAATCTGGATTTAAGGTTAAAAATGACACATCAGACAGTTTTATTGAATATTGTACTTGGACTTGAACATTTGTCCTACATGGAAAAGACGCTCTCACATTGATTGTTGGCTCCTGTTTTGAGGTCACTTCTGGGCAGAGTTTGGGGATTTAGTTTTGGGGTTTCTTTAGTTTCTATTATGAAGTCGGTTTTCTGTTTTTTTTTATGTGTTTCTGGGTTTTTCTGTTTTCTGTTTTCTACTGAAACAAGCAGCTCCTCTTCCTCAAGTATATCCAGTGAAACTTGATTAGACTTGTGATGGACATCCATGACTATAAGTTTATTTCCTAGCATGTAACCACGGTTACTAAAAACTTAAAGATATTTAGCATATTGTTTCACGGCAGTAATCAATCAATTTTACTTTCCATGTTGATTCAGTTCATATCAGTATTAAATATTATAATATAAACTTGTGATTCAGGATGTCTGACATAAGGAATTAGAGCTTTTGTAATTTAGTGGACTAAGTTAATGATAAAATTCTTTCTGGAAAACTTTTTTGTTTTACAAAACCAGTGGAAACGCTGGAAATCCTCATAATGTTCCAGCTGCTTTTTGATGGAAACATGATTTGTTTTTATCTTTAGATCAAGTCTCGTTTTCTGTTCTTATTTCAAAATATGTTTTTGTTTTACTGCTCTGCCCTCTGCCGGTCACTATTAGGTACTACAGCACGTGAGCGTTTGAACATCAAAGCTTTTTATCTTATTTATTATTGATTATTAATGAACGCTTCTCTTACAGATGTTTTTTCTGTATTACTTCTAACAACATTTTCATCAAGAATAGAGAACTTTAAATAACTTTAACTTACTAGTGTTACCAACAATCCAGGTGTTTAAATACATTGATGTTGACAGAAGAGCAATTGTTGCGAGCAATGATTATTTTGATTTCTTATTTTAAAAAACTACAGGAGCGGTAAGTACTATAACTTAATTTCTGAAAAGCTATTTGTTTTTAGATTTGTTTATTTATTTATTTATTTATTTATTTATTTATT